GGAGGAAGTATTGTAGTATATTGATTTAGTGGACCACTCGGTAATTCAGTTTATATTTGAAGACGTCAGTTTTTTAGAGGAAAAAAACAGTAGGTATCGGGGAGTATGTATGTAGTCGTTCAAGAATAAACACCTATTTTAAAACCACGAGTGACTTTAATTATTGGTATCAAGTCCCAATACATTACAAGTGGATAACCGCGGAAATTTTTATGCAAACCTGACTTGAGACCTATTAATATTTTACCCTAACTCTCAAAAATAATCGAGAAAGCAGTTTATGAACAAACGTATACCTTTGTCACCACTCTTTGAACATCAACCCGAATAAATCATCAGCGATAATTTTTGGTAATAAGAGGGACCGGAATGGGAAATTTGTCAATTTTTGTCAAAAAGGGCAAGATCTTGATACTACGACATGTGGTTTCCACAGGAGGGCGCTACATGTCACACAACTCAGGCCACATTGGATATTCTGCCCGAGTTATTTGAGGGCATGGTCATCTCACGCGGAGGTGATGTGAACTGGCCACCGAGACCGTGAGATTTGACTCCGTTAGACTTTTTTTTGTGGCGTTTTCTCAAGTCGCAGGTATATGCGAATAAGCCACAAACCAAAGAGGTCCTCCAATCCAACATAACCCTTGCCATCGGTCAAATTCAGCCTGATTTATGCGCCAGAGTCATGGAAAATTGGACATTTGGGATGCGCTCAACCTAGAGAAGCTGTGGCGGACATTTGAACGATGTTATATTTCACACACAATGGCATCAATAGGCCTTTCGAACGAATACAAATTTTCGATGATATCTCACACACATTATATTTCATTAAAATTTGGATATAGAAAGCGCTTACAAGAATGAGAAAACGTGAAAAATAAAATATAATGGGAAAGCCATCGATGATAATATCAACTCTGAAAAGTGTTTGTCCTTTTGAAAAAGGAAGGTTTTGGCTTTCTAATTCCCCATCTCTATATAAAAAATGTATGAAACTTCGATTGAAAGAAAGAAAGCAATTAATTTCAAAATAAACTCTTCACAAAGATATGCGCCGTCTCGAAACAGCTACTTTCATATAAACATTGAATTATACGAAAGAAAAATACTTTTATGTGAACACTGGTAGATAGATATAAGGAGTATTTATTTTCAGGAGTGACTAATTTTTAGAGATATTATCCGAAAAATTTCTTTGAGCAATAGTTCCGTGCAAAGACGAATTGATGAGATNTGTTGGAATTGTTTATTATATTATTTGATATTGGTTTTTTCTCTCCATGTATGATTTTGTTTTCTGATTTGTTAGGTATCTATTGTATCTACCAGGGAGGATTATAAAGGAACTATTGCATCGTAATTTGGAAAAATCATCGTTGAATTATGAAGAACTCGTGACTGTTCTGTATGACTGTGAAGCAAATATTAATGCTCGATGTCTCACATCGGTAAGAACCATTAAAAACGCTTAAAAAAATTCTCTTGGGAAAAATAGATCAATAGATTTGAAGAAAGTGTTGAATAATTTTCTTTACGATTTTACGAACATTCGTTGTGGAATTGAATCAGATATCATTCACAGGATTCCTACACAATATAGAAAATGAAAGAGGTAAAATTTCACTTACATGGAACACTGTCATCCTTACTGGTGGATGTTGGAATTGTTTATTATATTATTTGATATTGGTTTTTTCTCTCCATGTATGATTTTGTTTTCTGATTTGTTAGGTATCTATTGTATCTACCAGGGAGGATTATAAAGGAACTATTGCATCGTAATTTGGAAAAATCATCGTTGAATTATGAAGAACTCGTGACTGTTCTGTATGATTGTGAAGCAAATATTAATGCTCGATGTCTCACATATATCTCAAGTAGCGAAAAGGATCTGATTCCAATAACAGCTATGATGTTTATTAGTTCAAACTAAAAAATTGATACTCCCGAGTTGGATAAGGTTGACAGAGAGGTCATCTACTGATAAGGTAAAAGTATCTGCAAAAACTTCGAGAGGGCTTTCGTAGTCGATTTAGGAAGGAATATCTGGCAGAATTAATCCATACTGGTCAATAAAGGGTAACTTCACTCAAAATTGGAGATATTGTACTCAATGGAGGTGACAATAAAAAACGAGTAAACTGGCCATTGGGGAAAATTTGACAACTGTTTCCAGGAAGAGATGGAATAGAAAGAGTACTACGAGTTAAAACGGAACGGGGGGAACCAATTCGTCCTCTGCAGCGATTGTTTCCATTAGAAATTGAAGCAGATACGGCGAACCAATTGAAAAAGACTAGAGAAGTGGATACTAACAAGATACCAGAAAATCAAGACGGAGAAAACAATAGCATTTACAATGGAAATGTAACACAGCAAGGGAAAGTTAAAGAGGGAAAAAATAAATATGAAAGAAGACACCAAGATACGACGGCTTCATCAGTCATAACAAGATCTGGAAAAAGAGTGAAGATACCGAAACGATTTGGGTTGGAATAATTTTGCAATAGATTGCAAAATGGGGGGAGAATGTTGGATTGTTTATTATATTATTTGATGCTGATATTTTCTCTCCCTATATGAATGAATTTGTTTTCTGATTTGTTAGGTATCTATTGTATCTAGTTGAGTTCAGTTATTGATTTAATATCATTAAAAAGTCATTACGAGAAAAGTCAAAACCTATTTCGAAAACGATAAAATAATAAATCCATCTCATTTACAATAGTGGATATCCGATGTTTCGGAATAATACGGATTGCCTTATTACCACTTCAGCACTAATCTGGATAAAATTACAAGATGAAAGTAGTTTTAAAGGGTTAACTTTTGAAATGGTTTGCTTTCTTCGTTTCTTTGTAAGATTCCCACATTTTTTTATAAAAGCAATGTTTAAATTCAATCAAAACCGATTAAATTATATTCACAAGGAAAATCACAAGAGATACGACTATTTCTTCGAATGGGAAGGGACTCAGTTAATCATATTTTATTTCTACTTGATATGACTTCATGACTTGTGAATCTCTGCAAGGATCCTCCTTCATTGTAGTTTTGATTACATATCGTACCCATTTTGACCGTACTACGTATGCCGCCCTAACCTTACTTTTACAGTTCTAGGCGATTGTGATTTTATGAAGTGATAGTAGCAGAATTGCTCGATTTCGATAATAGGATATCTAAGCAGACTATTAAACTCCTATTTTTACGTTGTTATATACGCTATGCAATTATATTATCGGATCGTCTAGAAAGTGATGCAGGCATTGCATATAGAATACAGAACAATCCGAGAATAATGAGGACCTGGGAAGAAGCGACTGAATTGGTTGCGCTTTCTCCGACATTCGATAACGACTCAAAATGTATTTCCTGGAAAATATAACATTAACTGTTACCCAATGCCACAAGTGTGTGGGAAAATCAAATATTGTATCAAAACTAATTAAACTCAGAGGGATATTGAAAATTATTTTCATAGTCTGGTCAACAAGTGCCTTTCAGGTCAATATTTTTTCTCCGCCTCCGAAAAATATAAACGAGGTGTTATTTGACTCGTGATAGCGTGCAGCAGAAGTTTTAAACAATTATCTAAAAAAATGGGTTTGGTTTTTTGCAAATATCTCAAAAACTATTTGACATGTTTCGAATTCGAAAAAACAACAACAACAAGTCTGAGATTTTTTTTTCGTTTTTTGGAACAACTTTTGAAAAGTCTCAGAATAGATTTTCGTTGTAAAAAAAAATCAATTTGTTATCAACAATTTACTTATGTTGAAAATTGAAAAGGCTTATTAATCATTGAAATTAGTTTTTCTTTTCATTACTATCAATCCATTTTTTATCACGCTTTTATTAGCTTTACCTGTATGTATGTATGTTTGTAACTCTCCTTGCATGATCTATTCTCGGGCAGATGGCGCTGTACCTAACCTCCTTGATAAATCGATATTATTGCTTGATCTATTTGCGGGCAGATGGCGCTGTATGTAACCTTCTTGATATATCGACATTATTGCTTGATCTATGCGCGGTCAGATGGCGATGGCACATACTTTGTGTATTAACACAAAGTATGTGCCAGCACAATATTGATTCATTTTATATTCTTTTGAAGTATAGCAAAAAAGCTAAGATAACAAGAATTCAAATCATAAAATAACAATTGTCCTCAATCTACAAACGATGGATTTGATTGTAGCTGAAATTAGATGTTTGTAGTTACGATTATTCACATCAAAAATGAATGAAATAAAATCGAGTATTTTTCAACTGAACTAACCTAACATAACCTATCCTAACCAACATATGTAACCTGAAATCTGAAGTAAAAACTAACGTAGAATGAACTTCGAACTTTCAAGTTTGCTTCACCAAAGTGGACGAAGATTCAATTTTCCTCACTAGATTGTGGACAAAACCATACGTCAATTTGGTTGAACATCAATTTGTTACACTAAAATTCACTTACATTTTCTGATTGAATAATAACTCTTTGTGTAGATTTTGTCGGTCGGGGTTTTCTCTAACGGGGTTCGCAGGTTTTCGGGGCATTATAAGACCATCGTCAGATATCAGTTTCGGTGCAGGATGATGACCTGTATTTCTTAGTGTTTCGGGGATCATTGTGGCTGACTCTGAATCACCCTCGTCACCTGTAAAGAAATGGACGAAATTATATTTTGTGTTGATAGTTCCAAGTTTTTTTTTCAAACTTAAAATTACGTATGCTATCAAAGTAGTATTTACTGAAAGAGTTTCGAAACAAAAAATGTTTATTGGTCGAATATAATGAATAATCATTTATTATGTAATACATTTTTTGACAAATATACTTTGTACAGGAATTGCCAACAATAAATATACACATCTCAAGACAAAAACTTATACTAGAAGACATCCGTCAAAACTATAATCAATTGAAACGATGGCAAAATTGGATGAATTGGGCTTCAACTTGCTTCCGCATCCACCATATTTTTTCTGCTTTTCTTTCTTTTTCTTCTGCTTCTCACCCTTCTTTTGTTTTTTCTTCTATTTTTCATCAAGTTCGATTGTAAATAATGTGTATCAATATAAGTTATCTATTACTGGTTGAATGGAAGAGCAATTTCTGCCTTGATTTATCACGCGCAGACGTTGAATTCTGCCATTTGTTAGGTTAAATTAGTATCTCTTGTACTGAATAACTTTTCAATAAAAGCATTTTTTTTCACCGTAGTGTGTGCTG